ATATTAATATATATATATATATATATAATATATATATATATATATATATATATATATATATATATATATATATATATATATATATATATATATATATATATATATATATATATATATATATATATATATATATATATATATATATATATATATATATATATATATATATATATATATATATATATATATATATATATATATATATATATATATATATATATATATATATATATATATATATATATATATACCCTGCATATACCCGTTTTTTTTTGGGTAAGTAGAGCATTTACAGGTAGCGCGTATTAAATGATCTGACGAGTTATTATAAAGTAAAATATATAAAAATAACTATTGTACGACCAAAAACTCGAAATTTTTATTTGAAACATAAATGGACCGTTTTAAATTTGATTAAGCAATGATGCTGGGGGGTATTTTCGAATAATTAGTAAGTATTTTAACATCAGGTGATATGTATAGTTCTTAAGAGTTTAATCTAAATTTCAATATGTTCCTATATGCTCTACTTACCCAAAAAAAAACGGGTATATGCAGGGTATATATATATATATATATATATATATATATATATATATATATATATATATATATATATATATATATATATATATATATATATATATATATATATATATATATATATATATATACCCTGCATATACCCGTTTTTTTTTGGGTAAGTAGAGCATTTACAGGTAGCGCGTATTAAATGATCTGACGAGTTATTATAAAGTAAAATATATAAAAATAACTATTGTACGACCAAAAACTCGAAATTTTTATTTGAAACATAAATGGACCGTTTTAAATTTGATTAAGCAATGATGCTGGGGGGTATTTTCGAATAATTAGTAAGTATTTTAACATCAGGTGATATGTATAGTTCTTAAGAGTTTAATCTAAATTTCAATATGTTCCTATATATTACGGAGGTATGTGATCCTTCCAGTAAGTACGTATATATGTAACTGATTTTCGAACTTTGACTGCGAGGCTGTTTTCTCTGGAAAGTTCAAAGGGTAAAGGTAAGTACATGTGCTCTATTTATCCTACAAGTAAGTTTGAAAATAATTATTTAATTATTATTATTAACAACATTCTTCTTATTGAATTTTTGTGTCTTCTACATAGTTCTTCTTTAAGTCTTGTTTAAGGCTATAGATTATTGAGATTGAGACGAAATACTGGTGTAACTGTGAAAAATGAGTAATAAAAGAAGAAAATATTCATCGAGAACGATTAGTGGCGGAGTTGATCATTGAACTAGTTCACGACAGTAGCGGTAGTGGCGATTTTTTAAGTGACTGATACTTTATTACTATTATATTTAATATTTTGTATATTAATAATGACACTATGTAGAAATGTTACGAAATAAATTGTTACTATTTACTAATTTTTTTATGTACATCTTTCAAGAATTACTCGGCGGAAAAGACTGAAAACATACTTATATTCCGCTTGTTAGTGCAGGTAGATAATAGTATATTATGCAACAAGTGCGGTAAACGTCATTTGATTCACGAGTTTATTTGACACGAGCGGAGCGGGTTTTTAATAAACGAGTATAAGCCGTTAGTTTTTGGTTACATTTTCACAAAACAACACGAATACCTTCACTGACATGACCGGAAATACCGAAATGTCCGAAGTGGCTCGTTGTCGACGTTTGTCAATTCTGACGGTCCTGTCAGTGAATGTATTCATGTTGTTTTGCGAACATGTACCCAAAAACTAACGGTCGTAGAAAAAGTACAGTATGCAACACGTTGGGAAGACTTTTTAATTCACTCGTTTATTAAACTCGTGAGTCAAATGCCGTTTACCGCATTTGTTGCATATATACTATTTTGTTCTTTAAAATTCCATTTTGATATGAGCGGGTAGTGTGCTTGTTGGCAAACTGGTTTAGTCAAACGAGAAACTTTAAAGTTTAGCAATAACTGTCAGAAGAGAATGTCATCCCTTTCCTTCCTTCCCCCAAAATAACATAAGATAACTTTCAGGGAATAAAATTCTACCGATTTTCAACAGAATGACATTTAAGAATGGGAATTTCGCACTCCCAATAGAAATACTCCAATTTTATGTCAGTTGCGTGAATGTTCCGCCAAAATTCAACAGAAATCGAAAAACTGACTGTAGAAAAAAATCGCATGTGTATTTTGACTATATCACTTGCACGCGATAGTGCACCATTATTATAGATAATGGCTATTTCGTTTAGAAGTGATTGTTCTCACACAAAAAAATACGGCTAAATGTTGCGTTTCTATATGAATACATTTTTTTATTATTTCTTTATGTTGCTTTTTTATACAACCCAATCAATCGAGGGATGGGATGCAGTTAATGATACTTACCGAGCGATGCAATGTGGAGTGACGTGTTACCCTTTTTGGTGGCGGCGTCGACGATCGCACCCCTTCTGAGCAATTCCCTAGCGATTTCGACGTGGCCATCTTTGGCGGCGAGATGGAGGGCATTCAAACCGTTCTAGATATTGGAGTATTGGTAAGTAATTAGATTTGTCGTTGGGGATCACACCCAACAAATCGTTGAACCATTGTAATTTTATTTTATGTTTAATATTTTTAAATTGCACATTAAAATTTCAAACCCTACCTACTAATAATTATTATATGAAAAAATAACTATATTGAATATATAAATAATAAACTATGGAGAATTCGATGGTTTAAAATCACTAACGGCATTTGATGTGTTGATGTCGCGAACTGTCCCTGAATCCAAATACTCTTGTATTTTGTCTAGCTGCCCTGCTCGAGCTGCCCTTAAGAACGCCGTGTTGGGGTCGGTCTGAAACGTAAAAAACAAAATTTGATCTATCGCAGAACGTATATATTACTTCAAATCAAATGTATTTCAATGAATATCCCCCATGAATATAAAAAAATGAACGATTATTCCATGAAACTAACGAAAAATTTGACAGTTCTCGCTGGCTGAGCCTGTGAGGACGTCACGCGTCCCGTCGATAGCGTTTACTTCCTTCGGCCTTGTGTTTGTAATTATAACTAATAAATAGTAAATAGGTAAAATTAAAAATTAACTATCTGAATATCACGGTTATTTATTTTGAATTTTTTGGGAAGGCGTGAAAAATTATAATCTCCGCTTTTCAGGGTTTGTTAGCGACATTTATGCGTGATGGCCAGGTGTATGTTTATTGGAAGATTTACGGGCCTATGACGACGATTTTCAATTAGTGCCCATATTTTTAATAAGCCCGTACCGAAGAAGTCTTTTAACCGAATTAGGTATTCCGTGACGATCGTGCGGGAGTGGAGACACGCAGGTTGACGCCTTCTATGCCGTTTGGAAACGTGCAAATTGAATTAAAAAAATTCCCCCACGGACCCACACACATCACGGCATATTAAGTTGGCTGAGCGACAAAATTGGAGTACAGAAAACTGCATCAAATCAATCAACTGTGGTGACACGCGGCATGTGAAAACAGTTTACTCTCAATCATCAGCTTCCGGTGCTAACGATCTAGCTGCGGGCGAGTCTGTGAAAAATTCTGTGCCTTCGATATAGTATCATACATAGACAGGGACATAAAATCCGTAGATTATCGGAACCCTTCTAGCTATGCCAACTGTATAATTCATAGACTAATTTCTAGTCCAAACATTTATTTATTAACACTAATGTACTATTAATATTCAGTGTGGTAATTCCAATTTAGCGTGTCAATTGCTGCAGCGTTGTTAAAGTATAACGAAGCAACCAAACTAAATCTTGTTCCTTACACTTGATTTCCGCAACGCGTCACCCTTTTTCGTTGTTTTTGCACGTTTCTCTAGGACGTCATCGAAGATCATAACGGGCCACACCCTTTTCTCGAATTTGATTTTAAATTTAAACATTATTCGCGCTTAAAAAACGTGAAAAATAGTAACCGGAGCGAACTGACCGAACAAACTACGAAGTTATAAGCTGTGAATAATGTTATCGAGCTATTGAACTGTTGCTTAATTGGATATAATTAAATCAAATTACGTGGTCATAGGATAAAGGTACGCGCATGATGTCCCCTTTTTAATACGGTCATCGTTACGAAGGGCCACATGAAGGGGATCGTCATAGAAAAGCGTGTTACAATTAATATTCGTGGATATAATGTATTTCTAATTTTTTGGCCAAAAACAGAAAAGAAGAAGACCACAGATAAGTGTGCGTGTGTTCTGTGACCTATACGTCCTTGTGTGATTTGACCTGTGGATTGCCTTGAAATTCAGGATTTTTTCTAATTTTTCTTTTTTGCTTAGTTTCCGTTTTTTCTTTGTTGAAATGTTGATTAATAAATTTTAACCTATCAACAATTCAAGCCTATTCACAAGTCTAGTGCAAAGTCAAATCACGCGATCGTGTGCTTTAGTACTTATCTGATGTTTATCAGTAGTATTGGGCAGCGAAAATCGCTGAAGTTCGGCAACAACCTTACAAGAACATGGGGATTTAAATTGAAGTTTTAGGTTTATCACACAAAGAAGATGATTAGCAGCTTCGTGTATCTATTTTGGTGGTTTAATTTTTTTCCGATTTGCAATTTCAGGGCACATGAATTTCAAATAAACGCGGTATAGAACCGAAAACATTTACCAGAGCATTGCTAATCACTTAGCTGGTGGTAGAACTCATATTTGAACAAGTTTTCTACGTCAGGTGTTACGTCACTCGTAAACAAATGAACGCTTTATTTTTGTCCATTCTGTGCCAATGGCATACCTACACACAAGTCTAATTGTATTACTCATTGCCTGTTGTGACACTTCAAGGGCACTTCAGCGCAACAGTACTTTTTTTATTTAAATCACTGCTTGCTTTGTCGTTGGGTCAGGTCACGGTCGGCACGGCTACCAAACCGCGGCGAGAATAATTCTTGGAGCAACGCGACCATGCGAGGGGATAGCGAAAGTAGGTTAAAAGGATATATGGAGGAAATTAGGCCGGACCGAACGTCATCCAGAGCTGGATCGGTTTCCATTATAAACTAGATCGGATCGATAACCCGTCCCGTAGGTCGGTCATCCATTTAAGACGACGGCAGACGCAAGTCCACCTCTGCCACTTCTGCATTTTAGATAAGTAGGTTTTGCTTGGGTAGATATGCTTTTCATTAGAAGCAAATCGATAGGGGCGTTCACGTAGCCGATTGTTTGCTTGCCGGACAGTGACGTCGTTCCCGGAGCAATTTCCCTTTCAATGCTTTTTTCTTACGTGGCAGTGCTCATTTGCGCTATGCCTCGCTTGAAGTCAAGCTACTTGACACGTCCAATCAGTTTGGTAGGTTTTTACGCGTATCTAGATGAGTCCAAAAGATGCGTGTAGGAGACAGTGAGATATTTGACATTTTTAGTTTTTACTTAGTATAAATAAATTAATAATATTAGTTACGCAATATGAAGAGATATATGACATGAGCAACAAATATCATAGTAATCAGTAGAGGCGCAATATATGGAACGATATTGGGGAAAAAAAAATGAAGAAAGTGGTAAGTTTCGCATGAATTGTCTCCCTGATGCTCCGATTAGAAGTTTATATGTGAATTCATCTCGGGAAATTAACGCTTTGTCGCGACGCCAAGTGCAGCGCAGTGAAGCACGGCGAAGCGTATATGTGAACCGGCCTTTAGTCGCTTCACATATTTTTAATTGCTTATATTTGTTATATAGAAATACAAAATTACCCTTTTCTTCTAACTGTGGTTCTTTTAATAGTGTTCTGTAATAGTGTTGAGTCGAACTTGCTAACGTTTCGCCCATCATCCTGTTGGCTTTTTCAAAGCTTAACTGAAACTGTGTGAAGTTTTGTAAATTATATTTATTAAATTAAAATTTTGATCAAGTTCCCTATTATTCTGTAAACTCCGATATACGATATACGGTATACGATGATCGTGTCGGTGCATCTGGCGGGTTGCAGTCACAATGAACTGAGTCAGCTAACAATTCGCGGACAGTACGTGCAATATTAATGAACCGGTGACCTATTTTTATTTTATTAACAATCTCTTGTCGACGATTTGGTCGCTGCGGTTTCGCCCAGACCGCGACATTAGTTTTCCACCTGCGCGTATACCTCGCTCGAACGGCTACGTAACTGTACAAAATGAAAGTTTGGTTTTTCTTGCCGCAAAGCAGTATTGTTGTTTTTATCACAGCATCCTCGTAACGAGAAAGTTGCGAGTGCTGGAATGTGCGCAATAATGTTTTGCTGCCGCCCGCGATGACCACATGGTTTTCGGCTTGGCTAATCTACATAACAAAAATGGATCGGGTTAGTCCCTAACTCAATTAAGTTTGACCTGCTTTAAGTAGTAAATAGTCTGGAGAAAATACTAAGTGTATTTTCGGATACGGGGCATTTATTTTAGAGAGATCCTCTTTGATGCCCGGCAGCACGAGTATCCAGGGGACAATCAATAAAACGAGTATGATGTTAAAGGACCTGATCGATAGAATAAATCAATCACCGGGGAACAAACGCAATGCACAACAAAATTCTACCAAGCTACGGGATACCCAGAAAATATGAAATAGAGGTAAAACAGTGTTTAATCTTTCAGCACACTTTGTTTTTTTTTTATTTAGATTTGTTAGGAGCGGGCAATGAAAACACTAAAATCTGAATTAACTGACGATTTTATTTTGCAGCGCATGGACAATTTCATATTCATTTATATTCATGATGCTCCGATACGGAGAGCAGAGACAAGCTTTTGGTTATACTTGTTCTCTGTGGCGGGGAATCATGTAGCTAATCGTATTTATCAACCAATAAACCTGTTTACTACATAGGTACATCCCTACCGTTGACGCTATTGGGCCATCCACTCACTGTATGAGGAGTTGGTTCTGCAACCATACTAGAAAAGACTAATTTTCTATCAGAGTACAGACATAAAAGCAAAAAGATCTTCAATTCGAAACACCGTCTAGAGATTAAAAAGAATGTATCGATACTCCTGAGGGTGGATAGGACGAAACCACATTCAGTCGTCGAATATGATTAAGTAAAAGAGAAGAGAAACGTTACCAAAGCTAAAGAAATTCGTTGATGATCGATTAGTAAGAGTGAATATATGACCAAGCTCCTATGTGGAAACAGGGCAAATCTGACAACTCTCACAGGGATGTACAACGGACATTGCAATCTCAAACATCATACGCACACCTGGCAGTGGGAAAGAACATTCACTTAAAACTTTGGGCCGATTTTACCCCAGAGCTGGAGGGATCAACGGTCCCACTGGGAATTCAATTTCAATTGCACTGCCGCTTCTTGTATTTTCGCTTCTGAAATTCTTCAAGTGTATACGTATACAGTTTCCAATATGGGTTTTTTAGGAAGGAATTAGAAACGATGGGATTGATTTATTTATTTTACATTCATAATCAACCGGAATGACCGTGACGTAATGTGAAAAAAAAAGTGGCAAGTACTTGGAACAATGGTTCACAAATAAACCGCGTCAGATTTCGAGAGAGCGCATGAATTAATAAAACGAGCAATTCGGACGGAATTCATGAATAATTCAGGACGAAAACTAGTAAATCGTCGACGTGTTCGGATGGCAAAATATAAAGACCAAGGTCAACCGTACCGTTGTTGCCAGCACTAGCATATCGTACCGCGTGGACGATTTTCGAGAGTCAACGGCGGGCGACGGCCAAGTGACCGTCTGCGAAATTCCCCTGACGGCAAAAAGTCGTTCCGAATCCGAATTTCTTCGCCCATGCGCCGGCAACCGCGCCACAGAAATAAAAACTAATTTTAATACGGGTTACGTCATCGCAAACATAATTACCGACTTCGCGCGATTCCCCTGCCAGTAGTTTTTAGTGCACACAAAAAAAAAATAATGCGACTCGTTGGGTTTGCTATATGAAGGCGCAGAAATGTAGCCCACATATTTTTGAGAGTGAAAAAAAAAGACGTCGACAATTACGCGGTGCCATATGGCAAGTATTCCAACAAGTAAAAGTTCATCGACATCTTTTCTCTCTGTGTTATTGCGGCACGGCGTTTGGATGTGCCGCGTTTTTTCTGATGGATTTACGGTTATTCAATTCCGTAGAAACAATATAACATTTGTTATAAAGAATCGTAGCTTTCGAGGCGAGCGAGACGGGACTTTCGCCCGTCATCAGCGGTCCTTTGTTATACGTTCCTGGTAGAATTGTGCCGAGTCGCTATTTCGGTGAATCGAGTCGACTCGAGTCAGTTTATATGGTACTCGAATCATGACTCGATTCCATGATTCGAGTCCAGTACTCGAATTCTATGTTTAGTATTCAAATATGACTCGAGTTCGGGCGGATTAGAGTCTAGTAACTCGAGTCTGGAAATTCGAGTTCAGGATTCGAGTCCAAAACTCTAGTCCAGAGGGTTAAGCATTGACACAATAATAATATTTTTAATGAAAGATAATTATAAACATTAAATAAAAACAAAGAGCATAGGAATTCTAAGGAGATAATTAAAAAAACATAGAAAATAATTAAAAAGTTTCTCAACTTGGAGTCTAGATAATATTCTATTAATTTGAGACAGCTTTAAACAATTCTTTTAATACTAGATATAGTAAGCATTATAACCAAATTTTTTTTTAACTTTACATTAAGTAGGCACACAAACTCAGTAGCTTAGAATACAAAGTTTGGTAAGGTATCCACCTAAACTACCTAAACCGAACCCAGAATACAGTACAAAACTAAATGAATATGAAGAAAAATAGATATAAGAAAATGAAAGTTATTTGAAATAAGTGTTCAGAAACAGTATTTGGTCAACCTTCTTGGGCTCCAGTCTATTGCGGCGTTGGTTGCATAAAAGTCCAACCTTAGAGAAAACTCGTTCCGAAGGAACGGAAGTGACTGGAATGGAATTTTATAAAGGCCGCT